TGCACTTCCTAATGTCCCAGTGGGGCCAGAAGTGGGGAAGGCAAAGTCCCAGATGTGATGTCTATAGGAAGAGCCATCCAGCACCAAGCCACTTCTAGCATGCTCTCCGGGGGTGAATTCAGGCCAGCTTCTGCTCACCAGCGCCCCAAAAGGGAAGTCCCACAGTGGGTTTTTCCTGGCATCTCAGAACCACGTGTTTGGTGGAGTGCATCGAACAGAGCCTGGGGATGCCTCAGGGCCAAATGCAGATGTGTGGGAGATATCTGCCCAGAGTCTGATCTGAGCATGCCCACCAAATGAGGAACATCCCCAAAGGCTTCACTTCACCATGATGGCTGCTGGTGTGGTTTCTAGTTCCATTTCAGAAGAGTGTAAGAGGCCACAGCCCATGACCAAAGGCACCAGTAAGAGCCTCAGGCATGTGGTGGCCCCAAACAGTCCCCTCTGTTCCCTACATCAATTCCTTAAAATGAAAAGAATCCATTCAGTTCATCAGGTGGGGTGTGAAAATGTCAGGCTCTTGCCAGGTACTAGAGCTACTGGGGTGACAAGGACACTCTGACTGGCACTAAGGAGCTAGGCTCTGGGGAAGGCAGGCATATGACAGAATTTCATTGTCCTTCAGTAGGTCTTGTGATTGGAATGAACACACAACTCAGGTGTAGCAGGAGTCACCCTCCTTGCAGGGCAGGGTAGCTAGAGCAGGCTGGGAGCATTCACTTGGGAGCCGGTGACCCCCCAAGTGGAATCCTGGTGAGCAGGTGAGAGGCTTGGAATGTGTGGGGCAGAAGAAGCACTGGCATGTATGTCTGCGTTCCCAAGCAGCAGGCTGTAGTAGGAAGTTTGGAAAGGGAGGAGCCAGCCCCAAAGGTCAGAACTGGGCCATGGGCTTTGTTTTAAGGAGCCAGACGGGTTTTAAGTCAAGTCCAACTGGTATTAAAAGATACCATTCTTTTTTTTTTTAAGATTTTATTTTTTATGTATACAACATTCTGCTTCCATGTATATCTGCACACCAGAAGAGGGCACCAGATCTCATTACAGATGGTTGTGAGCCACCATGTGGTTGCTGGGAATTGAACTCAGGACCTCTGGAAGAGCAGTCAGTGCTCTTAACCTCTGAGCCATCTCGCCAGCCCAAAAGATACCATTCTTAGTGCCAGTGTGGAGGGCAAAAAGTCATGGTAGAAGTAGACTAGAGACTTCCATAAAGTGCACAAGTCCTCCTCACTCCTCAAGTCCTACCTCACGGGCTCTGAGGTCCCTGTGACAGGAAGCAAAGGTGCAGTGGTCACAGGTCTCAGGTTGCCTGAGGGGCTCAGATCCTTGCAGACATCTGGAAAGAGGCTCCTATTCCATTTAGATGTATCTGGGCATCCCCTGAGGATGGACTTGCTCAAGTTATGGTCCTCACTGGGAGAGTGCAGGGCAGTCCCAGTTCCTCAGGCCAGAGTCCAGGCAGATGGGATTGGGGAGAGGGGGGCTAGAGCTTCCTTCCATGCCTTGGGATGTAGGGCTGTGTAGTTTGCTCTTGGAGACCGGTACCTGGGCCCCACCCAGCATCTGGATCCAAGTGGTGGGTGTGGTCCAGAAATCTGCATTGCTGGTGTGCTTCCTCCATGAGGCAGGGTTTATGATGACCTGGGAATAGCCCCTGGACTGGACACCTCACCCCACTTCTCTAGGACAGTTGGGTCTAGGAGAGCCAGTCTAAGACAGGATGGACCTCCTTGGTGGCCTCGCCACTCTCCTTTCAGCATCTGCCTTTTGTTTTCACGTGATGGCTCCTGTCTTCAGCATGAATGCATTAATGGATGCTGCACTTGGCAGCTTGGAAAGCCCTTCTGAGATACTTCAACAACGTTCTTCCAGTTTTCAAGTTAAGCATTTTGTTTTGAGATGGAGTCTGTACAGCCCGGATCAAACTAAAACTATGTCACCAGGCTGTGACAAGATACCATGGCAACTCTTAAAGGAAAGGATTTAATTTGGGGGCTTGCTTACAGTTTCAGAAGGTTAGTCCATTATCATTATGGCGGCAGAGAGCGTAGTGGCAAGCACAGTGCTCACGGTCGGGGTAAGGGGTGCTTTTGAAACCTCCAAGCCCACCCCAGTGACTCACTTCCTCTAGCTAGGCCACACCTCCTCATCCTTCACAGTAAATTTATGAGCC